GGAAGATTGGGATAAAGGAAGGTCGGATAGGGGAGCAGGGAAGCACATATCTTAGTTAAAAGAGCCACCTTAGTGTTGACAAGAGACTTGAACCTAGAGTGGCTCCCAGGAGCCCAAGGCGATGTCCCCAGTTAGTCCCTTGGGAAACTGAGGATAGGGAACCTGAACTGACCCTATCCTATAGCATTACTGACGAAAATTGGACCTTCTTGCTGAGAAACTTTAAATCTGGTTTTGGGGGCTGAGGGGCTGAGGGCCTGAGTTCAGATGCCCAGCATCCACATAGAAGCCAGGCATAGCAGCTCTTGATATTCTAGTGCTGGAGAGCCCAGGCAAGTGGCTATCTGGAGCTCCCTGACCAGCCAGTCTCACTGAATCAGTGAGCTCCCAGGGTAACAAGGCGAGAGCCATTACTGGAGACTGACTCCACAGGGTGTGTCATGCTGACCACAGGGACTCAGACAGGCTTAGAGACAGGCAGGGCTTCTAGTCTTACTTTGCAGGTCTCATGTTTGTTACAAAAAGGAAATACCTTTGTGGGGTGTTTAAAGAAAAAAAAAAAAGGCTACCACCTTACCCCGCTGTCTGTGTCACCACTAGCAGGGCACACATGGCATATGTGTCTCTATAGTCTTACCCAAAGTAGTCAACCTGAATCGGGTCATGAGGAAAACAAGAGAAAGCCAGAATATGAGGCAGTTCTGTCTTCTACAAGACAGAAAGGGCTACATCATCAAACACAAACTTAGCACTCAAAAAACATTGGCATTTATTTTATATTTATAAAACCAAAAAGGTGGCCGGCCTTCAAGCCAGGCACGCTGGCAGGACACCTTAAATCTCAGCATTTGGGAGCAGAAGCAGAAGGATTGTCCCAAATTCCAGGTCATTCAGGGATACATGGAGACCATGCCTCAAACAAACAAAAAGAACAACTGCCGACTACCAAATGAATTGTGGGAACTCAGAATAGCACTTGTATTTTGAAAACAAAATTCCATGACAGACCTAGTGGGTGGAGTTTGAATGTGGGCTGTGTACAGTGTTATTTTTGGAAGGATTGTATCTTTCTTAGTTTAGATAAAGTTATCACTGTTAGCTGAGAATATCCTGATTCTTAAGAGAAATGTGTTATGATGTCAAAAGTTCTCTAATCTTTGAGCCATGATGTATATAATAAAGAAAAAACTCAGGAGAGGGATGAGTAAAAGGTGATAGACATGCATGATTGGATGCTTATCTCTTTTCTGGGGATTTGAACATTTTCTAATAATAAATTCAAAGCATGCAGAGACTGAGGATCACAGGTTCTCAGGCTTGCCCCATCCTTTTCCCCTCCTATCCAGGTTGGCCAGGTCACCTCCAGTGTTGGAAAGAGATTCTCCTTCCTCACCAGCCTAAACCATTGTCTCCACACAGGTGAAGACCCCCTCGTGGATGACCAAAATGAGCGAGATATCAATTCAGTCGCTGGTGTTTTAAAGCTGTATTTCCGAGGCCTGGAAAACCCACTCTTTCCTAAGGAAAGGTTTCAAGATTTGATATCTACTATTAGTAAGTATTTTCCAGGTGGACAACCCATTGCCCCACAGGTCTTTATAGAAGTTGAGGGGCTGGCTCTTTACCCTGCCAGACACGGGAGAGGGACACTATGAGAGAAGTCTGGTCCTCAGAGTGCTCCAAGACCCAGCTGTATAGGTCTCACGATGGACTGATGGGCATGGTACATTTATGTACAACAGAGCTAAGAGAAGTATAGGGGAGCCTGGGGTCAGAGTAGACCTGGGGGGATGTGGGTAAGCCTTCCAAGAGAAGGGGACACTGGAAGACCTGGAAGGGTTGGGGACAATGGACCCCTCGGGTCAACAGTGCATGGTGCAAGAGGTTGGTACAGTTGCAAGAGAGGTAGGTCTGAACGTCTTTGAAGGACCCCACAGCTTTGTCTTTGGGTGGTAGGGATCTATGGAAGGCTTAGGGATCAGGTCAGCAGACAAGAGAAATGGTGACAGTCAACTGCCTGGGAGATCATCTTTACCCCGCTAGTCATGAGAGTGCTTGACAGATGGAGGAGATACTGGCAGTTCCTGGGATGGGAGAGAAGGAAGGCCATGCTTAAGCCCTCATGTTTTCTTTCTTTGTTCACCACGTTTCTCAGCGTTTCCGTCCTGCTCATCTTTTAAGATCTATGCCAAACTCTAAACCAAACTCTAAATCCCAGTACACAAAGACTCCATGTCACTAACTTAGCCAGTATCATTAGACCAGATCCCCATAACTCAGAACCTTGTGTAGGACAATGAGTGGATAAGGATGGAAATCCCAGCATAGATCATGACTGTGCCTGACCAAAGTCTCATGGTGAGAGGGTCTCTTCTGTTCTGTCTACAGCTCTGAGTATGGCATAGAGAATCCTTCACACATCAACCTCTTTCCAAATGCAATCGCCAAGGTCATCTTTTGAAGCTTTTGTAAACAGACTCTACCTATCGTTTAGTGGCACCCCTTGCATTTGTTGATCAGTAGCTCCCCTTCTGTGCTCTTGATTGCCAGAGTTGCAGTTACCCCCCAGTTGACTGCAGTGCGGGGTTTTGAATAGGAAATCCTAGAAATACTAAGTTTTAAGTGACCTTCATCCCATGCACTGCTCTAACTGTTCTCATTCATTGTTGACTGCTAGTACCTTCCTGTGTCTATTTTATGAGGTAAATTTTCCCAAAGGTGTGTATGCTAAAGGATATGGTTCAGATGGATTCCCTGCCTTTGGCATGTCTTAGAACATAGCCCCACCGTTACATATTTGTATGCTCTTTCCTAGTTATAACAAAGGATTGTCCATTTTTTTATAACAGAATGATAAAAGTTCTTTTTTTAAAAAAAAAAAAACAGAGAGGTGGCTCAGAGGTTAAGAGTACTGGCTGCTTTTCCAGAGGTCCTGAGTTCAATTCCTGGCAACCACTTAGTGGCTCACAACCATCTAGAATGAGATCTAGTGTCCTCATCTGACCTGCAGGCAGAACGTTGTATATATAATAACTAAATCTAAATCTAAAAAAATACAATGTAGTTAATAACCAAAGAGGGGGTACCTGGCATGGAAGACTGACAGGTGGGTTGGGAGGACTTGTAAAGAGGCAGTGGAATTTATGCATAAAATACTGACTGATATCTTACTTGGGTGAAACTTCCTCCAGCCAGGTCTTGAAGGTAAGTTAGAGGGATCAATAACCCTGTTGACATTTAAGGCAAACAACATCTCTCTGCACATGATCCACAGTCAGGGCATATGGGGGCTGCTGCCAGAATGGGCTTCCTTTAGCTATACATCCCACACAATGTCTTGTCAGGAAACAAGCATTCCAGCTTTGGCAATAACACCTCACAGAGAGGTGTGTCTCCAGATAGTTTTCAGACCCCGGGGGAGAACAGTGGCCAGGAGTTGAAGAAGGCAAGATTGTCTGTAGCTCTGCCATGTTGACTGCTGAGGAGAGCAGTGGCTTTAGGGAGCTGGGATTCTGTGAGGAAAACATCACTGACATGTGGCATGTTGGCTGGACACACATCATCAGCATCACACTGCTTGTAGTTCCAGGCTGTCAACTCCATAGGTCCTGCTCTGTCTCGCAGGCCATAATATCAGCATTTGGCTCTTTAAGGTTCACCTGAGAACCGATACTAGGTGAGATGCTTGGCATGTGCCAAGCCATCTCGTCAATAAGTCATTCAAGGAGCCTGTATTTGCACTGTCCTTTTCTGAGTGACTGTGGTGTGCCAGGCCTCTGCTGTGGCTGGTGCCTGCCACACATTACTAAACCCCCATCCCTGCCTGTGTCATCAGGACTCCAAGACTGCCAATGACAGAAACTTAAACTATCTGAGACCATACAGCAGCGTATGTCAGTCCCTCTACCAGAACACTTTAGAGCCATTGGTTTTGGATGTCACATGTCCACTCTGGGGTCCGTGTCACTCCCTTGATCCTCAGACAGGATACTCTTTCCTGGCAGTTCCTAGCTGCTCCAGAGTTTCTGCTACCCCAGTTCCAGGGACCTCTCTGTAGATTTCTCCATGGTCTTCTAGACCAGCTCAAGTCCCTGTAACTGATGGAGGAGGTGGGGTCTGGAGAGATCTGCTGCCTTGCTTTAAGGGTAACAGGCATCCTGAACCCTCTGTGCCTTACAGAACTGGAGAACCCAGCTGACAGGGTGCACCCAATCCAGCAGATCCTCATCACCCTGCCCCGCGTGGTCATCGTGGTCATGAGATACCTCTTTGCTTTCCTCAATCAGTGAGTACTGGCCCGGGGAGCCCTCCGACTGGCCTCCTGGGGGAGGGGTGTCCCAAGGCTTTTAAAAACGCTACTGTGATAAATCGGAATACAGGACCTTCCTGCATTTGTGTGGCGTCCCACTTTCCCCCACAGAAGAAAGCATGGGGGAGGATCTGCCTTTTGGGTGAACGGTGGGTACCTGCTCTCTCCTAGCCTTTCCCAGTACAGTGATGAGAACATGATGGATCCCTACAACTTGGCCATCTGCTTCGGGCCCACCCTCATGCATATCCCTGATGGGCAGGACCCTGTATCCTGCCAGGCGCATGTCAATGAAGTCATCAAAACCATCATCATCCACCATGAAGCCATCTTCCCCAGCCCACGGGAGCTAGAGGGACCCGTGTATGAAAAATGCATGGCTGGAGGGGAAGAGTACTGGTAAGGCACCCTTCCTCTTAATATGACCGTTAGCACCATCCTGTCGTTGTTAGGAACAGTCAGAAGCCTTCCAGTTTTCTCATTACACTAGGGTCCGTGCACCATACATAGTTTTCCACGCAGACTTTGCCGTAGTCCCGCGTGAGCAACAGATACATCAGCTAAGATTGTGTAAGTTGCAAGGAATAAAACACACTTTCAAATAGCTGAAGCCAAACATGCATTGACTTAACTGTGTCATCAGATGTAGCTGGGTGCAGAGGCTTGGCTGTTGTTATCAGGACCTGGCCCTTAAGTTTCCTACCCTGACCTTGCTTACTTCTGTGCTGGCTTCAGCATCTCACTTCATGGCTGTCAGAAGGCAGCCAGTGAGCACCTCCAGCTTCGTCACCCATTCTCTGCATCCCCAACAGAATAAGAGCTTCTCTTTCCCAGACATTCCTATAGGAAGTTCCCAGGAATTGTTCTGGGGGCTCCATTTGAGTCTGAGGAGCTCTCATAACGTGGTGGCTGGCCATGTGTGAGGCCTATCTCAGGAAGCAGAAGAGTGGGTGTCCCCACCATGGACCTCAATAGATGAAGTGATACCCTTGTCACCAACCTCTCCCATCCAGGAGTTCTCTCTTCCAGAGCTTCTTGTCTCAATATCCCACCTCAGGTCAGCGATCATTAGTGGTAACTCTCTAGCTGTTAGGACTCCCTGTATCAGGAGAAACAGTTAAGAGCCTTTTCGGGTCCAGGCCTGGCTGCCTTCCCCAAGCTAAGCCTGAGAGAGAGAAGATGACTTTGTGTTTAAATTGTAGTGAAAGAGTAACCACAGATAGTGCCAGCATTCCAGATGTTGCAGAAAACTACGGTGAAGGGAAGTTTTTGCGCTGAAAAAAATGACAGAGAGGCTCTGAACATAGCCCGGTGGTAGAGCATATACTTCCTGTGTGGGAGGTCCTGATTTGAGCCTCAGCACCAAAACAGAACAATAAAGATCCATGTTGGGGCTGGAGTGATGGCTCAGCAGCTGAAGGTATGAATTGTTCTTATAGTGGATCCTACTTCATTTCCCAGCACCCAGCTCACAGCTGCCTGAACTCCAGCTCCAGATGATCTGATGCCCTCTTCTGCCCTCCTCAGGCACCTGCACACACACACACACACACACACACACACACACACACACACACACACACACACATCCTCCCCACCCTCCACCCCGCATACAAATAATTATTTTAAGGTAAATGTTTAAGGAAACAGGTATGTTTACCTCAATTAAGTATCACCCAATTTGTGTATCTATTGAATGATCACACGATACCCTACAAATGTGTAATTTGTATGCTTTTTCTACCAATTATGTTTTTAATTAAGAAGGAAAATTTGGGGGAATTCAGAGAAGAGAAAATTACTAAGCATACTGCTTGAGACAAGTCAGATGTTCCAGCTGTTACATTGTCCCCAACCCAGGTCAACACAACACTACACTTAAGTCTTTCTGCCAGGTGCCTGCAGGGAACTTAGACATTTTAGTTTGGTGTTTTTGAAAGAGTCTTACTATTTAGCCAAATCTGGTATTGAACTTGTGCTCCTCCTGCCTCAGTAAGTGCTGGGTTTGTAGACTTGATCTGTCATGGCCAGTGGGAATTTGGGCTTTTGATTAAAGGATGCCTGGATGTTTCAATTGCCCCCATTCTCTAGGGTTACTAGGCAACTGCTTCAAAGAAGCCTGTCTGTCTCAGTGCACATTCTTCTCCAAACAGACATGAAGGGCCACAGGGTGTCTGGTCACAGTGGCCTCTGGTCACAGCTCTCTGTCCTAACACTGTAAAGGACCCACATGCAGCTAGAAAAGCACAGTTTCAGCATAAAGAGAAGCTAAACACACAACTTACACATGCACAATACACTCACCACTTTGACACTTTTCTTCATTTCCTATGAGACTAGAAAATTAGCAATCACATGGTCACTTTGAAAGTATTTTCAAAACTAAAAACGGAAATGAAGGTCTGAAGGTCTCAGTGTAGGGATCAAATCCATTCGTTCAGCAGTGCCCACCCCCTCCACCCAGCATCCTCTGGGGACTGGATCTTCAAGTGGCAGGGATGGTGCTTGGGGTAGAGTAGCTTCAGTGGGAGGAGTGTTAAGAGGACCAGAGGCAAGTTAGTTCAGAGGGAGCCCCTGAGCCAATCACAGGCCACCAGGAAAGGCTTCCCAAGGAGGTAAAGAAAGATCCAAGCCAGCAATCTAAACTGGGGCCAGTTCTCAGAGGACTAGGGCAAGAAAGTCTGAGGCCTGCAGCACTCAGCGGAGTGAAAAGAGTCTCGGGTTGTTGAGGGTGGGGTGTGTGACAGGGGGGTGGTGAGGTGCCAGGCTGCATAGGTCAGCTGGAGGCCGGTTCTGATGCCCTTGATTTAGATCTAATCCTGGTGGCAATGGGGAATTTTTCACAATATAGTCTCTATCTCTTTTTGTTCTTTTAAAAACAGTCTCAGGTAGCCCAGACTGGCCCCAAACTCATTATATAGCCGAAGCTCACTTGAGCTTCTGATCCTCCAGCCGTTACCTACTGAGAGCTGGAATTACAGGCATGCACTACTAGACCAGGTTCGTGTGATGCCGGAGAGAGACTGCAGGCCTTTGTACATGCTAGACACTACCAGCTGAGCTGCCTAAAGCTATTTTTTTTAATGGCATCGTAAATGTCACCTCCTATTAAAAGCCATCCAGATCATTCTATGTTGGTCCCCTCTCCTGCTCTCATCTAGGCCTGTTTTTTATAAATCATTATTTCATCTTGCAACTGTTTTATGCACTGGCCCCATTACGTGGGTTGTTTGCTCTCCCTAGAATGTGAGCAGTGAGGTCAGGGACCTGGTCCACTTGATTTCTCATTGTGTCCTTCCTACTTAACACAGTGGGATATGGTAGAACCCAGTTAATAGCTTGATGAAAACCTGGCACACACACACACACACACACACACACACACACACACACACAAGCACACTCCATGAGGAAAGCCCTGGCCTTCAGATACTTGGAGTTTCCCGCTGCCGTCTGAATCTCATTGAGCACTTAAGCATTTCAGCCACTTCGGCTACTATACTTGAGACTGTATCATCAATACTGAACTGAAGTCTGTGTAGCCCAGGGTTCTGAAAACTAAGAGGTATACCACATGTGGTGAGGGCATTCATGCTAAATCATCCCACGGTGGAAGGCAGAGGGAAAGAAAGTGTGAGAACAAGCAAGAGAGCCCCAAGGGATCAGGGCTAACGCAGTAAGTCTGCTCTCATATAACTGGCCTTGATCAACACCAGTTTCTGACAACACAGTCCTTATGGTCTAATCATCCTTGCTTAGACTGTACCTCCAAACATGGTGACATTGAGGATGATGTTTTCAATACACATCCTCAAGCCTTTGACAATCTAGTCCATTCCAGAGCTAGGGTCACTAAGGCAGTATTCAGGAAAGTCCCCAACAAGTCCTCTTCCTATGTTTGCTTGCAGTGACAGCCCACACAGTGAGCCAGGGACGATTGATGAAGTTGACCATGACAATGGCACAGAGCCTCATACCAGTGATGAAGGTGAGTAGGGGGAGGGTCTAGGCCAAAAGACCCACAGGGATCTCTCATGCTTACTCAAGACAATCACAGAGGCAGTACCCACAGCCCCACTGCTCCAGGTAGCACGGGGGCCTTTCAGCATGGACAGGGACCCAGAAAAAGGCTTAATGCATGCCTTGGGTCCCAGCGTAGGTCCACATAGAGCAGATCCTGGTAGGTGCTATACATTTACAACACACCACTCCTGGCCCATGTCATCCTCTGTGTGTCCTGCCTGGGTCAGTAAAAGTCCTCAGAGACAAGTGTCTAAGAGGAAAGTATCCCCTGTTCCTCTGCTGTTCCTGGCCCCAGCTCGAGGATCTGCTTTGCACCAGGCCTTTGCTGGGACCTGGGACCTGGTGATGAATGAGGAGATCCTCAAAAAGTTTCCGAACTCTCAGCAGACTTCAACAGATTGGAAGCAGCTCTCAAAGAACAGATTGACAGTGTGAGCTCAAAGGGACCTGCCCATGTAGGGGCACCTGAGAATTGCTTGGATAGTGTGGAAACAGAAGGTGGGGGGGGGGGGTATCTACCTGATTCCTCTCCTTCTGCCGAATGCTGGATTTCATGGAAATTGGACCACACAGATGAGCAGTCTGAGTTATATGGGCTCAGGCCTCCTTACCCACTAAGGCATAGTGGGCAGAGTCTAGGTCAGAAATCTCACAGAGGCTCTCATGCCTACTGGAGCTGGCCACAGGACTAGTCTCCACAGTCTCACAGATATTCAAGCAGCATAGCTACCCTTCAGTACATGAGGACCCATGGTGCTGAGGGGCATCACTGAAACCTTCTATCTCCTGGAAAAGCAGCAGTACATATTCTGCCTTTAGGTCTGTTGCCCATTTTAAATTTGTCTTTTTAGTATTGAGTTGTAACCGCTCTTTACATATTCTAAATATAAGTTTCTTATCTCAAATGTGATTTTCAAATGTTTTCTTCCATTATGAGACTTGTATATTGTTTTCCAAATGTTGTCCTTTGAGGCACAAAAAGTTTTAATTTTAATGGAGTTCAATTCATCCCGTTTTTATTTTATTGTTCATTGTTTTGACTATATTCATGAAAGCCCTTGTCTTGCCTTCTTTTTTGCCAGGTGTCTTATGGGGGTGAGGTGAGGGGGGAGGTGGAGGGAATGGGAGGAGGGGAGGGAGTGGGAACTGGGATTGCTGTATAAAATTTTAAAAAGATAGTTTTCTTTTTAAAAAACATAAAATAATTAAAAATTACTGTGATAAGATACTATGGCCAAGGCAACTTATAGAAGAAAGAGTTTATTTGGGGCTTACAGCATCAGAGGTCTAGAGTCTAACCATCCCCCCCCCCCCCCCCCCCCCCCCCCCCCCCCACCCCCCCCCCCCCCCCCCCCCCCCCCCCCCCCCCCCCCCCCCCCCCCCCACACACACACAAGTGATACACCTTCTCCAATAAGGCTACACCTCGTATTCCTTCCCAAACAGTTCCACTAACTGGGCACCAACTATTCAAACATAACAAACTCATGGAGGCCGTTCTCATTTCAAACCACCACACAGAGAAAGCAGCCAGTGGTTTCCTACCAGATGCATTATTACCTGTCAGAGTTTTTCTTATTTTTTAAATAAGTGTCTGTGTGTGGCTGTATTTTCATGCATATGTGTGCATGTGTACTCATGCCTGGCACACATATGCAGACTAGGAAAGGGCTGTTGAGCATCCTCCATGATCACTGCTTCTTTGAGGCAGGATCCCCAAACCCGGGTTCACATATTTTCTGCTGGACCAGAAGCTAGTAAGCCTCAGTGATCATTCCGTCTTCATTTGTCTCAGAGTTGAGATCTCAGGTGTGTTATCAGGTGCCTGACTTGTCTCACGGATGCTGGGACCTGAACCCCAGTCCTCATGATCATACAGCAAGCGCTCTTAATGGCTGGGCCATCTCTCCCACCCAGCAGTGAGGCTTTCAGATGTGCATTTATCAGGTCAAGGATGCACCCTTCTGTCCCTGTTTTTCTCAAGTGTTTTGCTAGGAAAACTTGTTAATGCTTGCCAAATGCTTTTCTTCATCTTTTGCGATGATCATGTCAATTTTTCTTTTTATTTTATTGACAAGAATTGTTAAATTTTAGATGTTAAACCAATTTTACATTCCTGGGATAAACTCTTCTCAGGTATGGAGAATAATTCCTTTTACATATTTCTGCATACAGTTTGCTAATATTTTGTAGAGAAAAATTTCATCCATATTCATAAGAGATATCAGCCTGCGGTTTTCTGGTAATATATTCCAGGTTTTGTGTTAGATAATACTTGCCTCATGAAATGGGTCGCCAACTGTTTCCCTGTCTTGTGGTTTTTGGAAGATGTGGTGAATAATTATTGTTGTTTAAATGTTTGGTGGAATTCAGCAGTGAAGCCTCACGGGGCTGGGCATTTCTTTCTGAGTAGGTGCTTTGGTAGTTAGTTCGTGTTCTCAGGGACTCATTCAGGTTTTCTATTTCTTTTTATAAAATGTATTATTAGCACATGTGCATGTGCATGCATGCTGGGCAGGCACATGCATGGTGTGGCATGCATCTAGAAGTCAGAGGACAACCTTCTCCTTCATCTTGTTGAGACCTCATAGTTTCTCTTGTTTCTGCCACTGCATGCTACAGGCTATCAGGCCTGTGAACTTCTGGGTGATACCTATGTCTGCCCTTTCCATCTTACCACAAGAGTGCTGGGTTACAGATGTGGACCACTGGATCCAGCTTTTTCTCCCCCTACATTGTTTAATAAGGTTATTAGACTTGTATAGCAAGCACTTTTACCCATGAGCCATCTTCCTGACCCCAGGTATTGGTTTTTTTGGTTTTTCCATTTGTTTGTTGAGGAAGGGGTGGTTATATCATGACTTATGTCTGTGAGGTTGAAGAACAGCATGCAGGAGTTGGTTCTCTCCTTTCATATAGGACTCAGGGATCAAACATGTTGTTGGGCTTGGTGACCAAGCACTCTTTCCTGTTGAGTCCTCTCGCTGGCCCCAAATATTCTGTTTCTCAAGTCAGTTTCAGGAGTCTACATTTTTTAAAGGAATGTGCCCATTTTATTCTACTTAATCTAATTTGTTGACATATAATCGTTGGTAATATTTCTTTATGATACCCTTTTTCCGCCAAGTAATGACATTAATGTTCCTTGTCCAATCCTGATTTTGCATTTTATTAATGTGATTTTTCTCTCTTGTTTTCTTAGTTTATTTAGCCAAACATTGGTTAATTTGATTGATCTTTTTCAAAGAAGCAGCTTGGACCTTGTCTGTGTTCCTAGTCTCTGTCTCATTTAGTTCTACTCTAATCTGTATTACTCCCCGCCCCTTCTTGCCTTATCTTTAGTTTGCACTTTTTTTTTTCAAGACAGGATTTCTCTGTGTAATAGTTGTCCTGGAACTTGCTTTGTAGGCCAGGCTGGCCTCGAACTCACTGAGATCTATCTGCCTCTGCCCTCCCAAGTGTTGGGATTAAAGACATGCTCCACCACCACCCCGCTTAGTTTGCACTTCTAATGTCTTTAATTTTTTATATTTTAATTATGTTTAGTTTATGTGTATGAGGTTTTGCTTACATGTATGCTTGTGTGCCATGTTCATGCAGTGCCCTTGGAGGTCAGAAGAGGGTGATAGATCATTTGGAGTCTGAGCTGAGTTTAGGTGCTGGGAATTGAACCCAGGTCCTCTGGAAGAGCATCCTGCTCTTAACCACTGAGCCATCTCTTTAGCCCCTGCACTTCCTGTTTTTTAAGGTGAAGGCAGAAGTTACTGATTTAGAATTTTCCTTAGCACTGTCATCTACATCTCTAAATTTCCACCCGAGCCATAGCTGCAACCATGAGTTTTGGTTGTGCTGTGTCCTTATTTCCATTCACCATTTGTAAGTTGAAGAGCCCCTAAAAGCATTGTGAGTGGATAGAAATGAAAAGCTAGTCCTACAGGCAGTACGTGATACTTCTGTGTAAGTGGACAGGAGAAAAAGGGGCTCATGGGTGGGGGTAGGATGTATGCTGAGGTGTAGAAGGAAAAGGAATTTCCTCAAACACATGCGTAGCTCAGGCTAGCCTCCCTCTCCTGTTATCCTGCGTCCACCTCCCAAGTGCTTAGATTACAGGTATGCATTACTACGCTTAGCTAAACTGGTTTCCATAATCATGCAATGGAAAACATGGATCTGGCATGCCAGCTCCCTGCGGACGTTTTATATTTGTTTATTTATTTGATTTTTTTTATGAGATAGGTTATTGCTGTATAACCCAGGTTGGTTACAAACTCTTAGTCCTCCTAGAACCCTGAGAGTCCAGGTCTGCACCACTGAGCCTGGTACCCATTGGACATTCTGAGAAGTTACATGGATTGCCTAAGACTGACAGTGGGGAGGAGTCTGAACCTAGAGGGCTGGTCCCAAGCCCCAGACCACCTGTGCTTATCAAGCCTGCTGCCCATCTTCTTCACGGAAGCCCAGGCTGTCTGAGTCTTGGGCCACCCCTCCCACCTCACAGATGCTCTGTCTCTTGATTTTCTTTCAGAAGTGGAGCAGATCGAGGCCATCGCCAAGTTTGACTATGTGGGGCGGTCCCCTCGTGAGCTGTCCTTCAAAAAAGGGGCCTCATTGCTCCTGTACCACCGTGCCTCAGAGGACTGGTGGGAGGGCCGTCACAATGGTGTGGATGGACTCATCCCTCATCAGTACATAGTTGTACAGGACATGTGAGTGAGAACTGGGGCCTTCTGTGAAGAGTGAGGTAATAGATTAGTGATGTCTGGAATGGGCAGTAGAAGGGGAATACTGGGTTATATGCTGGCACTTTGTTCTCCTGGGATCAATATCAAATCTTGATGATCTCTAAGAATTTTTTTTTATCTAAGTTCCCCTGAGTGCAAATCCACAAAAGAAATATGCACATTGTTCATCCTTTAGGCTGCCATCCAGACCCATGAGCCATAACCAGGGCTCTCACCATCCACCACGGTCACTAGCATCCCATAGTCTTTTCATATCCCTCCACTATCCTGAGCTGTCCCTGTAGCCAGCAATTAGCTCACCACCCCTTAATGCTCACAGCCCTCCATTCCAGATGTGACCTTCTCAGGGAGTGGAGAAATGCAAGCATCCCATTTTCCTTTAACCAGGTGTCATTTTTAATGATTTAAGGAGTTAAAAACACCACATACCCCAACTATCTGGCACTGTCAGAAAGTTAAAGAAGTTGGGACTGTGTAAGGTCCTTCCTAGGCTCTCATTCCCTTCCAGCTTGGATTGGCTCAGTGGAGCTGACCTATCCTGGAAGCAGCCGTGGAGCTAAACTGCACAGGAGGGGAACCCCAAGCCTATGTTGTGATGCAGGGTTCTGAGCGTGAACAAAGGCCAAGGCCAAGCAAATGAGAAAGGGGATGCTGTAATAGAGGGCCACCTCCCAAGTATCCTGGACCCCAGATAGGGAGGTACGGGGATGGAGGTAGCTCTTCCCCCCTTGCTTGACTCTGAACCACTTTGCATGAAGCCATAGGAAACTCAGCATATAGCACCCTGTGCTAGGAGACTCAGCACTCAGCACCCTGTGCTCAGCTTGTAGACTCCAATACCCATTTCTTCACCTTGTCTCCATCATTGAGAGGGTCTTGGAGAGAGGACAAGGTAGAAAATGGGGAAAGAAACAGTGGAACGGGGGTGGAATCCAAAGGAGCCACCCATGAAAGAGCCTGGCTGTGGGAGCATGTGGTAGGCATGCGTGGACAGAAGGTGCTCAGTCTGGGCTGCTGGTACAGGCAACCATAGGTGTGTGCAGACAGCTTTGGAGGAGCTCTGGGCATCCTGGGCCTTCCTGCAGAGGATGGGGACCACCTCCAATTCACGCCTCTCTTCTCCGCAGGGACGATGCCTTCTCCGACAGCCTGAGTCAAAAGGCTGACAGCGAGGCCAGCAGTGGACCACTGCTGGATGACAAGGCCTCCTCCAAGAATGACCTCCAGTCCCCCACAGAGCACATCTCTGATTACGGCTTTGGGGGGGTGATGGGCCGGTAGGAAATGCGGGTTCATTTTTGTCCCACTAGCGCCACATTTGTCTGCGTGTGTGTGAATTGGGGAAAGCAAGAGGGTAGGAAGGGGAGGAGGAGACTCCTACAGCTCCTTGATTCTGCAAGCCATGACCCTGAGTACAGCTGGGTGGGCTGGCTGGGATGGCCCAAGGATTCCAGGTGTGAACTGACCCAGCTTTGGTGTGTAGGGGGTGTGAAGGAAGAGGAAGACCTATCCTGGCACTGCAGAGCTTCTTATTTTAAATAATAATCATAGCCCAGCCTGTTTTAAAATTTTAATATGATAATGAGAGAGAGACATGCATGAGAGAAAAACTGGCGAGTGCTTTTCCTTCTCTCTCCAGCTCCTGCACCTCTTCCTAGCTGTCTGTTGTTACACAATATTTTGAAAATGTAAAGCTCCCACAGTCCCCCCCCCCCATCCCCGAAACACACCACTTAAACAGAGAGTTCACACCTTCATCTGTGAAAGTTGATACCCGACTCCACCTACCTGCTTGGTGGGAGGAGATATGCCAGTTTCTCCACTGAGCCTGGGCTGTGTCACGTGACCGATATGCCAACAAGGAGCTGTGCAAGTCACCCAGGGAACAGGAAGAGAGAAAAAGCTGACAGCCTCTCTCTGCTTCACCCCACACCCCTTGTCCTCTTAGAACGTCAAAGTCTGTGCCCCATCTACCTTCTGCAGCAGGAGGGTCATGTGATCAACTCAGTCTTTGCAGAGAGAGAGAGAGAGAGCAAGAGACTCCTGTGGCAGCATAAATGTGGCCATTAAGAATTTATTTTAGTTGAGGTCCTGAGGCCTCTTTTTAGTGATGTTTGCTCAATTCAGCTTCGAGCACTGCAAGATGATAGGAACCACGGGTGGAGAAGCCGAAGGCTGGGTCCATAGATGAGGATGGTATGGTCCCAGTTCCTAAGAGGACCATACCATCTCCTGCCTCTCTCCTCCTCACCTTCTTCCCTCTATCAGCCTTTCTCCTTTCTTTCTCAAAACCTTTCCCTCCCCAACACCTATGCTTTGGTCCTACTGGGGCACCCGCAGGCTTGCTTAGCTTTGCTGGGGCGGAGGGTTTGAATTGTCACTAATCCAATGGAACTTGGCCCATATCCAGCCTCTGTCCCTCCCTACCCTCATCCACATCCAGCCTTCCCTCCCCTCACGAAGGTCTCTGTACCTTGGGTGACCTCCGTAGGACACGCAGTCTAAGTTATTTTCAACCCCACCCCCATTTGGGCAGATGAGGGATAGTCCGTCAATGTATTCACAGAAGGGAAAGGGAGAGAATACAGGAAAGCTCGTGGCAGACATGGGTCAAAGACTTGTCCTACTGATTGTCACTCGTACCCTTTTATACCAGTAGAACCCCGGAGGTGGATAAAGTACCCATAGGCACAGGTGGAGGTGTGTTCACTCTCTAGTGACTTACTTCCCAAGATCTGGGAAAGCTGTATAGGTAGCCTTGCTCTTGGGAGTTTGGTGGGTGACAGTGGTGAGCAGGTGTTTCGTTCCCAGGGATCCCCTCCTGTACTTAATGTGGCCTTTGGGTACAGTCAAGCCTCATTGTTTCAAACCAGCTAGAGTCTGAAAGGCTTCAGACTATATATATACATGACCACAGCTAGCCACAGCATTTCCATTTTGGAATCTTAATGCCAGGACCTGACTTAAATTTTGGTTTGCAGTGCAGCTAGCCTGGCTCCAAGTCTCAGCTCTCCTCCCTGGGCCAAGTTACTCTTCCCCTTTAGGGCATGTGTCACAGGTCTGAGCTGGCCCTTTTATCGCCAAATTGTGTGGTCGGGCTGAATGAGGCTTCACTGTGCTAGCTGCTCTAGATTAGCTTGTAGCTATGGCTTGGGGGTTGGCTGGCCCATTCTGAGACTGGCTAGGGTTGACTTCTGCCCCATGCTCCCTGCCCCTGGCTCCTTTGCAGAGTGCGGCTACGGTCTGACGGAGCGGCCATCCCCAGGCGCCGAAGCGGGGGCGACACACACAGCCCACCCCGGGGCTTGGGTCCCAGCATAGACACGCCACCCCGAGCTGCTGCCTGCCCCAGCAGCCCCCACAAAATCCCCCTCAGCCGTGGGCGGATTGAGAGCCCTGAGAAGAGGAGGATGGCGACATTCGGGAGCGCCGGCAGCATCAACTACCCTGACAAGAAGGCACTGGCAGAAGGGCTCTCCATGAGGTCAACTTGCGGCTCTACCCGGCACAGCAGCCTAGGGGACCACAAGTCCCTGGAGGCTGAGGCCCTGGCAGAAGTAAGGGCTCCACAGAAAGCAGTTAGGCCAGTTAGACACTCAGTGGGACAGAGGGTGGGAACTGCTGAGAGGGCAACCGTAGTGGCTTTGGTTGAACTTGAGACTGAGCCAAACAGCCAGACAGTGAATTGACTTCCTTTCCAAGCCACTAGCAAGAGCTCCTATAAGGACTGGAAGACCCACGCTCCCTCCACCCAGTGTCCAGGTAGAAGAGAGGGTAGCCAGATTATGAGGCTGCGGCAATGGCAGCAACCTCTCCACAAGATGCTAAGACTGAATTCATGTATCCACCAATGCATGCATGCATCCATCTTTCATTTATTGCCCTGTTCATTTATTGATGAGTCTTGATTGAGCATCTGTTGTATGACATTCACCAGACACAGTGGAGTGCAGTGGAGACCTGATGTGCTTCGGTCCTGCCCACATGAGCTTATAGTTAAGAAGAACTGCCAACCCAACACGGCAGCTGGGCTGCGTGTCTTTAATGAGCAGGGGAGGGTATATCATACTTTGAAAGTCATTCCCTGGAAGGGTATGACACAAGACCCAAGATGGACAGGACTAAATAGCTGAGGACAATGAAAGAATATTCCAGGCTCTTCTGGAGTGTTTTCTGTTTGGATGATTTTCAGGGGGATTGACCAGATGAACAGAATCAGTTTGTTTACCAGTTCATATCACTGGTCGGGCCTGTTTTTTACATCATATTCCCAGAAATTTCCCTTTTTATTCTCTTAGCTGTAGTTTTGAGCAAGGGTCCATTATGCACCTCCCTCAATGTTGACTATTATCAATGAGATAATAGTCAGGGACTGTAAGAGATAACAGTCAGAGACTAGCAGATCCTGCGGGCTGCGGGGAATCTGTTGTGCTGACAGCCTTTTTGAATACCCTTTAGAAGGGGATGCAGTGAGCACGTACGCTTTTGAGCATGTCCTTACGAGACTCTAGGGAAGCTCCTCAGAGAACACCCTGGCTGGAAGCAATGCACCAGCATCTAGAACTCCACACATGGCGTTTACCTCATATCCCAGTGCCCATTTCCAGGGAATCCTTGGGGTTGATACCTTGGCATGGATCAAGCAAAGGAGATAGCCAACCTGGCCTTCCATCCTTGAAGGCTATATCCTCTTGAGAACCATCACCCTAGTACCCATCATCTTCCAAAGATTGCTATCACAGCAAGGCAGGGGTTTCCTAAAGCTGGCTCAGGGTCCTTTACATGGACAATCAAACACAGTCAGGGGCACTGTGCCTAATGCACCAAAGACTACTACACAATGCCGGTGGAGTGAGTGGAGGCAGAGCATCAGGTATGCTATGGTACTCACCAAGTAGAAAGACATACTGACAGACTTTTTAGAACCTTGAAATAGTTTGCTGTGCATTGTGGATCTCTAGCAAGAACAGGGTATATTGTATCTCCAGACGTCTGCAGTTTTTCTCTGAGGAGCATTTTGTTAGCCTAACCCAGCAAATACACTATCGGTGCTGTGGGTATACTCGCCCTCTCTAGCTGGACAGTGCTTTCCATGGGCTGAAGTGAAACTGATGCTCGTGGAAAACAGTCATGAGGACACTGGACAGCTGCCCACTTGCTCAGCTTCATCTCTAAGGAGCTCTTGACTTTGTTGGAGCCAAACGGGAGGTGATGTAGAGAACCCCAAATAGTAAACGGAGTCATCCTAGATTCTTGGTCTTCCAAATACCCTGAACAAAGTAGATTTGAAGCCCAGGTAAAGAGGCTGTTTTGGAAATCTGCAATACTGTCATCCGAAGTGGGGGAGGAGGTGAAAATGAGTTCCTTCCCAACTGTGTCCCAGTCCCCACTGCCTCTCTGCGGCTTCACCTGGCAGACTTACGCATCCCTCATCGGACTAATGCAAGGCTGCAGTCTAAACCCCTGAAGCCCACCTTTCTCTGAGCTTTTTCTGTCTTTCCCATTCACGCTCTACCAGGGATGGGGAGATGAGAAAATGACATTTTAGTTATTGACAGTTTTACTTTTCAGATCCCATTGTATTGGAGCAGATGTTGGGGGTGGGTTGTGGGGATAATAGGAGACTAAGTTCCAGAACAGTGGTGGAGGCTCTGGTGACCCTGCAAGTATGTATACAGTAGACAGGTAGGAGAGCTCTTCCTGCAGGGTTCCCCACAACTGAGCCTATGAATAAAGATTCTCCAGAAGGGCCCCTTTTTAAAGCTGCCACACAGTGGGCAAAGTGGTAAACATGATGGAGAAACGTAAAAGCGGGTGTTAGTCATGAGCAGGATGCAGAAAGCAAATGGGATAGACTGGGTAGTGAGGTGAGCAAGAGGCTGGTTGGGGATATGCCCTGGGCACATTGGAGTCTGGTAGGAAGGAGGCTGCCTGCAGATCCAGAAAGGACAGGATGAAGACTCCGATGGTAGCTCCAGGCTGCAGCCCCATCTGTCTCCTCAGGCCCATGCATTTCTTTCAGGGCTGGCCTCAAACTGCTGAAGAGCGAGCATCCCTTAGTAGCCAACATTGCTCAGATTGGGCATGGCACCTGCAAGTGAAGGTTTAAGCCAGCTCCCCCGTTGGGCCCTCCATGGGTTCTGGGTCAGATCAGCCTGAGCAGCCACTCTCACATCCACTGGGTGTAGAGACAGCTTTTTAAAAGCCCGACGAAGAAGGGCTCTTGCGCTCTGAGGAGTTGGGTGGCCACCATCTGGCCATTTGCAGAGAGTCGTGTTCATCCTCTCACCGTATCTTCCCAGCAAATGTGGGCTTTCCACAGATGGATGCAGTGCAGTTCAGAGTGGCTGCTGCTCTCCCAGCTTGTAGGTCAGTGCTTTCTTCCAGCCCCAGCCCTGCCCTGGATTGGCTTAGAAGGATGCAGGCTGGCCTGGAGTGCCTCCCATCTGTTACCTGAAGTCTTCTCTTCCTGATGAGCCTGCAGATACAATGATGCCCTATGTGCCATTTAAACTTTCCTCACTTTTAAAACAAGAAATGAGCCTCTTAGGTCACAACGCTGAGAGCAAAGCGGTCTTCCTGTCATACTAGGGTGCACTCCTCATGCATTTCCCTGTGGGTAAGGATTTCTTTCTTTTCATTCTAAAAACTGACCACAGCTACCCAGTTCTATAGGGTAGAGTGTGAAGTCCCGCAATATCTGTATTGTTAAAATGAAGGACTTCCAGTTTTTTTTCATTTGATTTCATGTATGGATGTTTTGCCTGTGTGCATATGCGTACCACATCTGTGCAGTGCCTACGGAGGCAGACAAGGGTGACAGATCCCTGGGAGGTACTGGAGGTACAACCTGTTACAAAGCCACTGTGTGGGTGCTGGGAATCGAACCTGGGTCCTTTGGAAAAGCAGCCAGTGCGCTTAACCACCAACCCATCTCTCTACCCCTAAAATGAAGGCCTTTTAAGAAAAAAAAAAAAAAAAAACAATGGCAAAGGCAGAGATTTTGGAGCCAGACTCCTGACTTGGACTGGGTTGATTATTTAGCTGGGTGACCCTGTCTGGTCTGAGTTTCAATTTCTATATGTGAGATATGTACTCACATCGCATATAACAGTTGTCCCTACTTTATCAATACATTATTAAAAACTTTGGATATTAAAAACTTCAGCATGAAGTATCATTGCTATGGGGACCATTACTACTGTTTTTGAGTGCCAGGTGCCATGCCAATCTCTTTGCATGGATATGATCGCTTTATACATTCGTCAACCCTCCAAGGTAAGTGTTATAATTGTCAGCAATTTACCAGTGAGAATTCTCAGGCTCAGAGAGGTACCTGCCATTCCATAGCAAGAGTCAGGTTTTGAACAAATGTCTGTCTGCCTGCCATAGCCTGACCAACCTTTATGAAGGCAACTTCTTACGCAAGACAGGTACAGGGGATGCCCATGTTGATTCCCTGCGTTGGTTACAATATACCCTCAGGGTCTGGCCTCCCACAGGGAAATGGGAAAACATTCTCGGGAAGGTCTGTGTTGACCAGAGCCTTCTCTGTCCCCAGGACATCGAGAAGACCATGAGCACAGCTTTACACGAGTTACGGGAACTCGAGAGACAGAACACCGTCAAGCAGGCGCCAGATGTGGTGCTGGACACCCTGGAGCCCCTGAAGAATCCACCAGGCCCCATCAGCTCAGAGCCTGCCAGCCCCCTGCACACCATTGTCATCCGAGACCCCGACGCCGCCATGCGCCGCAGCAGCAGCTCCTCCACTGAGATGATGACCACCTTCAAGCCTGCCCTGTCGGCTCGCTTGGCTGGTGCCCAGCTGCGCCCACCCCCGATGCGCCCAGTCAGACCCGTGGTCCAGCACCGCTCCTCCAGTAGCAGCAGCTCGGGCGTCGGCAGCCCGGCTGTGACACCCACCGAGAAGATGTTCCCCAATAGCTCCTCGGACAAGTCTGGCACTATGTGACCTGCAGGACCGGTGTCACCGCCGTGGCCTACTGCAGCACACCGTGGCCTAGGGTGGCCTCGGTGGCTTCCACTTGCTTCCCAGGGATCTCCTGGCCATAGAGGGCAGATCCTGCAGGTCAGCCTGGGAGGGTGTGTGTCTGTGGAGAGCAGAGGCCCAGGCGTTAGCTGTACCTCCTACTCAGCCATGTGAATGCCACAGACCTCTTGTGGGCAAATAGACATGCCAAGGTGTGCTGGAGCAAGATCAGTCCCAGGGACCGTGTTTCCTAAGACTGAGGCAGATGCTTACCAGCTTCTCATATTGTCACTGGAAAATTACTCTCTCGATATTCTCTACATACGTATATATGTGTGTGTATATAAATACGTGCATATATACGCATATGTGTACGTATGTGTCTGTAGGTGTGTGTGTATATATATTTATGCATCTATATACATATACTAGAGAGCTGGACATACACACATGCTAACTGTATATAGACGCTCCTTTTTTTTTTCTTTTTATGAAACTTAGATTTACCTCAGACCCATGCCACCAAACATCTCCCACTGTTATTCGGTGGGATTTGCAGGGACTTCTCTGGGAGAACTTAGAGGCCCCACAGGAACTGCGAACGAAGCAATATACCACTAACCTGCAGAGACACAAAACCAGAAACAGTCTCCGGCTGTCTCCAGAAGTCGTGGCCTTCCAGAACAGTCTGCCCCTCAAGGAAGGATGGGGCAGGCAGTACCCCCAAGCAGGCTGCTCCTAAAGGTGGGGAATCCTTCATAGAAAACCCTTCATCCACCCCCACAGAACCCTGCCCTGCCACCCAGAGGCCAAAGGTCAACTGTGTACCCCAAAAGGCACAGGGGAGGTTGGTGTGAAGACCCTTGGGTTTGTACGCAGAGTCGGGATGGTGAGATGCTATGCCCCATCATAACACAGCATTACCTGTGGGTAGGGGAAAAAGACAACAAAACCCCCCACAAAAACCCAAACAGTGATATGGAGTATTTCAACCCCTAGCCATGCTGTAGGGATAAATCAGTGGTGACTATAGAAGTTTACTTCTCTCATCTTCAAAATATTTCATGTTTCTCTTTTTCTCTTTCTACTAATCATGCTATGTCAGATTTGAGACTGAATGGGCAAGGAGGTGTTGACTCACGCCATTTCTTTTGAAAGTAGGCCACAGCACGCTGTGCTTCCCCACCAGAGCCTCCAGTGCCCAGTCAGCCCTCGGCTCCGCCCTATGAGGGCTGTGCTAGGAAACACCATAGGCCAAGAGTTTATGAAAACAGTAGTGCTCTCCACCCGCCCTCCCTTCTCCTCCTCCCCCTCCGCGTCTTCTAAAGCAGTTCATGTAGACAAAACCTGGTGGTAGAAAGAAGGTACGTGATTCTGCAGTAGGAAAGAAGCCTTCTGTGTGGCTCTTTTGGTTCCATTTACCTGCACTTTTGCTGTAAATTTCCACTTTCCAGATAGTTCCAGGTTTCCTGGATAATGCATCACATGCAAATCTAGTCCTGATGGGACCATTTCTACTCTCCCTCCTCATGCCAGACCCACACGCACGCATGCGCGCGCGCGCGCGCGCGCGCACACACACACACACACACACACACAAGCACGCACACACACGCACACGCACGCACACGCACGCACACGCACACAGACCCCTCCTGGCTGGCTCTCTGCCTTCCTCTTGAGTTTTACAGTACAAAACCCAAAATTTGGGCCACAGCTTCCACCAGATAGGTGCTGTGTGACTCTTGGATACGGCACTCCTGTCAACTACAGACACTTTGAAATGCCACCCTTGGCATTTCTTTCCATTGGGCTTGTTTCCACCATCTCTTGGGTCCTCTATTAAAAGGCAACTTGCCCCCTTCCTCAGGAAGGGACCTAATGAGTCACTGGTACTCGGGTGTGGGGAGGATCACTTTCTACCTTACCTGTACAATATGGAACGGCAGAAAATGAGAATGTCAGGGAGAGGCCAGAGCCACCAAGACTTCCTTCCCTATCAACTCTTGCTATGATGGGCCCTCTGTCTTTGAGCACATAAAAAATCTCCATTTCACAGTTGAAGCGAGTAAGGCCTGGGAGGGGGGGGTGCTGGACTGGAACCTTTGCAAGATGTGGGCTGCATCAGGCTCCAGCGCCCTCATTTACCAATGTCTGCTATCTCTGCTATGCACCCAGGAGAGAAGACGGTTCTCTTTTGTATCCCAGGGCTATTCCCAGATTTTTAAGCCCATTTACCTCCCAGGCCAAAGGGAAAAAAAAAAAAAAGCAACATTCTCTGCTTGAATACTGGATAGAAGCAAAATTGAGTTTACAAATCTGTTACCTGACACACCTAATGCCAGTTATGCTGTGCAGATTCGTCTCTCTCTGGGTTGATTTATTTCATTTTTCCTTACTGCCTCTCCCCAAATGTCCCAAGAGCAGAGCCTCAGCTGTTTTCCTTAAGCGTCTATTTTCCCCCCATTGGCAAGTGGCTGATGAATTCACGTTTAGGAAAGCGCATGCACAGATGGCAGACGAGTCCCCATCTCCTCCAACCCCCAATCTGAGCTTTGATGCAGAACAAGTGGAAAAAACTGTCCACCCCTACCCCAACACACACACACACACACACACACACACACTCTTCATCTGGTCCCCTGCATGTCTCAGCCACCCCCAGGCCCCAACTCAGTCCCATCCGTGTCTATTGAGTGTGAGCATCTCCCTTCCAACTCCTGCCTGTTTTTAGTCCACTATATATTGCTGTATTTGTTAAATGCTGGAAAGTAACTGTTAAAATGTGAAACTGTAATTTTTTTTAAAGAAGGCTACAATTACATTATAGCCAACGCCACTCACCAAATCTTTGCACCTAGTAGATAGATCAATGTAAAAACAAATACCAGAAACCTAATTGTACAGTGATTGGGGTGGGGGGTGTAGTAACATAGTTAGTAGTCCTCAATATAGCCAAGCGTACAAGGGGAGTGATGTCTACCAATGTTCATCACCATTATTGAAAGCTGTACCGATCAGTTAGTTGATAACGGGCATTTTAAAAAGATTTATTTTGGCTTCACAGAATGATCTCTTTAACTTCCAACTCATCCGAGGTCAAGCCTTTTGTCTTTATGTATAACCGGTGTTCAGTCTGTTTTAGGAATGAACCAGCAAGATGTTCATTTAATTAGAACTGACCAAAGACAATTACTTCCTGGTCTAGTTTCCTGGGCACTGTGTGGCCCAGCTGCCACTAAAGACCTTGCTCCGATCAATTTGAGAACAAGCTGAGCTTCCGACCCCACTCGCCCTCCCTGCCCTCCCTTCTCCTTTCCTCATCGAGCTGCTCTGAGCTGTGGGATCCTGTGAACTGTCGCCTTTCCTTGTTTTCAGTGCTAACTTTTCACCTCGAAGCGCCTTTTGAACCCCCCCGGACAGAGCACACCACTGGAGGGAATTGTGGTCTTGGGCGTTAAAAGACTACAGAGCCTTCTCTCTGAAGTCACCAAGCCAGGGGTCAGGAGGGAAACGGATTCCTAAGGAACGGAAAGGTTTTTGTCCAGTGAAGAAATCGAATCGGAGTGGGAAGAGAACAGGGAAACGGAGCCATCTGTTGGCTACTGGCTGGAACCAGCAGTTCAGAGATCTGCCTTATAAACACTAAAAACATTTGTGGTACACAAGGGGAGCTGGTGGGAGAGAAACCTGTACACAGGGCTCCCTTCGTTGGCGTCTCCTGGAGTGCCTTGTTGGGTGCATTCCTTTCTTATTCGGGAGGCCTGGATGCAGAGGACATCACGTGACCTGGCGCCTGGTCATCACTGAGTGGCCAGTGCACATGCATTCTAAACAAGTGATGGAAAACCCCGAGGACTCACACAATGGCCCTCCCTCTTAGCCTCTCTATTTCTAACTTCTCATCTTCCAGATGGTTCCACACTAGAGCAAATGCCTCATTCTCTTGAGAAACCCAGGAAGGGGTGGAGGGGGGTGGTGCTTCTAGCTGTGGTGGTGGGTCCTGCTGGGCTGGGAGGGAAAGGTGTGACAAGGAGGGAAAGGCAGGAGGGGGTGAACTGAGGCATTGCTTAGCCCATTTTCCGCTATGCAAATGATGGCAGTGCAGGTCAACTTCCCTGGTTCTCTGGGGTCTCTTCTACACTGAGCTGAATTCCAAGTGGAGAGTTCTACATACTCCAAGCTGCCCAGGGGAACTGCCAGAAGGGGCTTCACTGTCAGTCTGAGACCTCCTGGCGTCTCTGAAGTTCATCTGCCAGCATTCTACCGTCCCATCATCTGGGACTGGCAAAATGGCCGTTGCTGCCCTTTGCTGACACCTCCTTTCTGTGCGAACTGTCCCAGGCAAATCACAAAGCTGTTCCTTGACGTGGAACTGCCAGAGTGCACTTTCCTTCCCTTGATGGAAGTGGGTCAAGGCTAGCTCTGCTGCCCAGGCCCTCGTTCCAGGCAGTGTGACTGTTTACATGGTTTGACAATAGGTTTGCTTCTGATTGCTTCAGAGTGGCTGGTCTATTTTGTTTTCTTTGCTTTCCTTCTCCCCTCAAATTGTAACAGGAAAAACAAACTGAAACCACCCTAGGAAATTGCTGGTTGCCTGTCCCCATGTGATGCTAACTATTGCCCTCTTCTGGATATCATTTCTCTACCTTATGACCAAATGCCCGTCCTATAGAGTGTCTGATTGGATCCTCTGTTGCGTATTCTGATGGTGCCTGCTGGTTTGATGTGGAGCTATCCTGTGAAATAAAACAGCTTAACTTTTTCTCAAACATATTCTGTGGTTGTTTGCAAGGGTAACTTGACCATGGTGGGGGAGAGGGCCCAGAGTGGCATCCCTACCCTCCAGTCCACTCTGTCTGCATGCTTCCTCCATCAGCCACACTGAAATTATACTTTAGCTGAAAGTCAATGTTACAAGAAGAACTACTGACTGCTTCAAGTGTAGAGAGCTAAGAACATGACTGGAAACAGGACTAGGCATTGCAAAACTAAAATGGGGGAAGCAGGAGCTGTTTGATATTCCAAGAAATGTCCTAAAAATTTAAGGACAAATTGCCAGAGCTACGCAGTGATGATGTCTAGTATCAAGACATATGTGAAATTTTAAAGTATTTATTGTCTCAATATAATACAGCCTCTGGGACCTTTAAGACATGTGTGGATGTGGATGTGTGCCTGTGTGTGGATGTGTGCCTGTGTGTGCACTGCTAACCAGTAATTTCTGCTCCAACCACTAGATTACACCTCCTCCAGGAAATTTCTCATCTCGTTTTCAAAACAGCCATTGCAGGGAGTTGCTATCAGACTCAGTCCTGCAAGAGGTGAAGCAGAGGCTCCTGGGGGCTAATTGACTTGCCTAGCCAAGGCTCTTGTAGGAAGTGCAGGAGCAAGGATTTGGACCATCTGTTTATCAAGCCATGTGTTTTTCCTGTGCCTTGTGCTGCCTCTATGTATTCGTGGCCCCAAACTGGGTCCAGGATCCTTAGAAAGTGCCTTGTAGCCACCTACTGTAGTCAAGGAAGACTTCAGGGCCTGAGCCACTGCCACCCCATGGATCTTCATGTAACAGTCTCTGTGCAAAAGAGAATGGGTCTTTGCCACATTCCCAGAGCCTACCATAGCCACCCATTTCCCACACACTCCATGGTGGCCTCTTGCTAAGCCAGACTTTTTGGCTATGGTACATTTCTATATGCCTTCCACAACCCATTTACCTGTCATAGCAACCACGCTCATCCAGGAACCCCAAATCAGAAGCCTTTCATCCAGTGAATATCTTTTTATGTGCCTGGCCCCAAGTTGGCTGTTGGGGACACAGATGGATGAGACCCGGTTTCCATCCTCCAGCTCTCAAGCCGCTAGCAGCCTCATTGCACAAAACAATCACCCCAATCAATTCTGACTCAACAGTTCGCAGAACTGTAACGCCAAGGTACCAAATTTGCACAAAGGGCAAATTGTAGTTGACTGCGTGCTTTCCTGACAAGTAGCTGAAACACTTTCTGCTCAGATCTGTTTAAGAACTTTGGGTTTATGAATGACAATCTCCCCAGGTAACCTCAAGCCAGAGAAAATTGGCTACCACATTAGAAACCAGCCTGGAACTATGGTCAAGTTCAGCATAAGGCAGGGATGAGAGGGGCACTGTCCTGGGCTATTCTTCTCATTAGCCCACCACAGCCTGTCTCATAGAGTGACTACTCAATGATGCTAAAAGCTTCCACTACCTACAGCTACTTAGCCTCAGGAGAACAATCATCTTGGGCCTGAGTCTCTGTCCTTAGAACTGAACCACAGGCCCACACCTAAAGTAGCTCTACAGGAGTAGACAGCCCCCTAGTTACAAGGGTACTGTCATCTCTATCCAGACTGTTTCAGCACAGAATAGCCTCCCATAGGAGACGCTGAGAGCTGCCTTCTGTAGGTCCGAGAGTAATAAGCAGCAGTGAGTTCAGTCCCACTCAATTTTAGGGTGGTAATTACACGGCAGTCACTAACTGATACATCCCAAAAAGGCTCACTCAAATGCATTAGTTTTCCACCTACCAATGATGACAGCCATTGAGTGTGCGCTG